TTAGAATTTCTCGTATACGTATATACAGATGGCATGGAAAATCGTTTTTTTTGGGCGTTTTTTAGACGTTCTTGATTTGATCGCGTTTCGTCGTTGGGAAGCCACCCACCTTGAAGTCATGGCTTCATCAAAGAAATAATTTATCTCAACGAAAATTACAAAAATTTTTCCTTAGTACTTAATATATATACCACATCGTTATGCAAGTCTCTCGTGGTTTTATTAAGAATATTCTTCTATGACTTTTTAGGACAGCTCCCAGAGCGAATTAACGGATTTTTCAGGTCGCGTCTTTTATGTTACCAAGAATGTTGATATACCTTAATAAAATTGGCAATAAGAAAATTTTAATCAATGCAGATCAGTGTAAGATTCTTTCATTTTTGATATGATATTTACAAACTCCTGCAATCAATTTTTGTCTTAGACCTCTTTACACGAATAAGTTTTTTAGGTGAAATAATGACGCATAAATCGGTATCTAGTTACTGCAGGGGCGGCAAAATTTTCTTCTAATTAAAATAATTCATCATCATCGAAACAGCTCATTATCACACAGTAATCATTTCTACTAGCCTCGTTAATGGAAAAGCTCGGCTACACAGCCTCCTGAAACAACATATCTTACAGGGCGAATTGCATGACCATGCCAGTAGATATGCTAAGATTATTCATGGGAATATACTTAACTCTCCTCTATTAGATGCTCATGAAATAAGATGCTAATATTGTCCATCATTTCCTGCCACTCCTAGCAACAGCTTTCTTTAAATGAAGTCGGAGCTCATTAACGAAGCTAAGATTGGCAGCACTACAGGAGCAGCTGTTTTCTGTTTAATGAGACGAGTGAAGTGCAAATGAGGCCCAACAAACATGTTTGCCACAAAATTTAATTTCCTTTCTTTGATATCTACGAAGGCCGGGTGCAGATTCTACTCCAAATTGTTACGAACAGCCTCTGTCTTTACGACTGCGTTCATACATATTTTTGCATCGCATTACTTCAGATGGATGCATTTTTAAATGTACCTTTAATTATGAAAGTATCAGTGTATGCGGATGTTCAATTCTATTACAAATTTATATAATCACAGCGCTCCTGCGTTTACGTTTCCAATTTTTTTCAACCCAGTGCTGGTCGAAATGAAAGCACAGCTCTAGAAGGGGGCAACTCGCCCTTTGATTCCAAGGCCCCTTCCAAGGGGCCACTCGCTGCTGATTCCAAGGCCCTTTACAAGGGGCAACTCGCCCCTGATTCCAAGGCCCCTTCCAAGGGGCAACTCGCTGCTGATTCCAAGGCCCTTTACAAGGGGCAACTCGCCCCTGATTCCAAGGCCCCTTCCAAGGGGCAACTCGCTGCTGATTCCAATGCCCTTTACAAGGGGCAACTCGCCCCTGATTCCAAGGCCCCTCCCAAGGGGCAACTCGCTGCTGATTCCAAGGCCACTTCCAAGGGGCAACTCGCCCCTGATTCCAAGGCCATTTCCAAGGGGCAACTCGTCCCTGATTCCAAGGCCCTTTCCAAGGGGCAACTCGCCCTTTGATTCACTTTCCTGTGTTCTGATATGTGAAATGAAGAAAAATTTCGAAACTTTTGCCACGTTTTTTGCTCGCATTTTTTTCAATTAATCATCATAAAATTTTGTTTTCAATTTAGAGATCCATAGTTCGTTGGAAATTGACCTGGTACTCGTTTTTAAATTGCACGCAAGGTTTCGATCTCATACCTCCTAATAAATGCCTCATAAAACCTTATGTTTTAGAGAAAAACTTCCCGTGTTCCTCTTGGAAAGCGTTCACATTGTAAAAAATTTACCGTAAGTTGCAGGACTAACTTGGCCCACCACATTAATAAGAAATATTCTTGCTCATTAAGATCATATGATTGGAGAAAAATAAAGGACAGTAACCTGACTCATTCACTGTAATTTTTAATCTAATATAGATTGAGGTAACAAATTTTCTGACGAATTAAATCCATTAAGCATGAAAAAATTATAATTTTTAGTCCTGATATTGTTAAGTTGCCTTGGGAGACAGTTTGTGCTATATTAAAGCTAGTTATTAGGGTGGAGCTCTAATCAACTATTCCGCGTTAGGTTTTACAATAGTGCGGAAAATTTTTTATGTGCAAAATAAGCAACTTGTGCAAAATTTTAGACTCCGAGAATAATTTTTAAAAAAGAGCACATAAATGGAAAATTGCCATAAAATTCCAATGGCGTTTTAAGAGGTCAAAATAGACAGAAAAAAAAACATCATAAAAACACCTCTAAAATATATGATCCAAGTTTCAAAGCTCCACCTCAACATCTTCGTAATTAGAAAATCCTATAAGAACATGAGGGTAAAGTATATATTTGTCCATATCTCACAATTTTGCTGTAATTAATAATTTTTTTAAAAGGTGATATCTATTTCTAATTTCCAGAGCTCTAATATTATCATCTTCATGGTCAGAGGATTACTCTAAAAATCACCAGTACTCCAATAGTTGTAACTTGAGTAATTATTTGGACATAAGGCCTCAGAACTCTCTTTTCAAATAATTTTCGAAATAAATGTTGAACTATACAAACTACTTGACCTATATAATAAAAAGGGCAAAGTGTTGATACCTTCGAAACTTAATCCATGATTCCATTTTTAAAAATCAAGTCCTCTAGGTATCTACTTTGAACCTACAAACTAGTTAAGAATTCAGATTTTCCCATAAATTTTAGCGATTAGCTAAACGATATTAGCATGGAAGGCATCTCCTATGTCCTGCATATAGTCAATTTAATGAAATCTTCAGTTGCTTTTCAGCTTATGTTTTGAGTAAGTGAAAAATGGCTAAATTTGCGTAAGGTTAAGGTACTTGCTTGGATTAATTCGTTTTCGTCCTGAAATAATGATTTTCTAGGAGTAATGTTTCGCTTGAAATATATATTTTGTATTGCAAGGAGACGCCGAGTAATAGACTGCCAGCTCGAGCCTGAAATTGAACAATGAATGTTTATAAAGACACAAGGTGTACCCGAAATGCCGGTATAACGAAGCCCTAAAGCATGTTGCTGTCATTCTTAGATTTTAAATTAAATAATTTTAACCAAGCGCCTATACCGAAAAAATTTAAATTTTACTTCAGCTAAGAATTTCGTTAAATTGATGTCTTGGAATAGTAAATGTGAAGGAAGAGAGATCTAAATTGATTGTTTAAAAGAAAGTGCCGCGGCACTACTCGTTTCCCCGTTTATACTTTTCTTAATTGCTGACTCAGTTCCGCAACACTACTTAGACCGCTTTCATAATCGCAATGGTGAGGTTAAGTATGGAAAATGAAAATGCGACTTTGTTATAAAGTACAATGCAAATTTCCCACCACTGACTGTCAGACCGCAAAGATTAGGTACGACCAGCTCTGAGGTGGGCGTTAAATTGATCGTGACCGTCAGATAAGCTGCTGATCCCGACTTGCGTACTAATTCTTTTCCTATGGGATCTTGACTCAGACGCCAGGGTGAGTTGCGTGCGATAGTGGTGAGATTTGATTTCTTAGTGAAATATTGTGATTTTTGTGAATATAATGGTTTGTCACGTGTAGGTATTGTTTTGTTTTTGTTATCTGTTGTAGGATCGTACGTTTATTATCGAAACTCTGCTCCAGCTCTCTCCCCGCATTGTATCTCTCTCTCTCTTCGCAATTTAGCTCTCCCCCGCGTTCAATTTGTTAATTCGTTTAGTACTTATTTCGCATCTCTGTAAAATCTTTAGTTTTGATTTGTTTTGTTTCGATTTGCCGTTTATCTATAACAAATTTAATTAAGCTTGTTTTTAGTTATCAATCCTTTCAGTCCAAGCTATTGCTATTAAGCCAATACCCAATAGGGAAGTATCTTTCAATTTCCGGTCATTGGTGGGCGTGACAATTAAGACCATCCGAACTTTGATGTGACCCAATTGGCTATTCGGGAATTTAAGACTAGTTCGTCACAGACTTTTATTAAAAAACTATTGTTGCACAGAATTTACAATTGAAAATAACGATCGATGTAAACTGGTCAAAATTCTAGCTCAAATATGAACAAGAAATATTCCTTGGCTGGATACAACCGGCAATGTTGGCTGGGCGACAGGTGAGTTACTCACAGGTTGAGGCAGAAGGCCCCATGAAAGTTGAAAATTTGTCAAGAATACGAAATACACGAATAAGAAGCTAGCGAGGCACACAGTGCTGTTGGCAGACACAATGGGACTCATTTGATCCAACATTCGCCGCCCAGTTGCAGCCTCCTGCCATGCTGGTGGCCGATTTGTAGGACGGACGGACGGACGGACATGACGAGCACAATAGCGCCTTTTTTCCATAAATGAGCATCTTGACCCCCAAAATCCAGGAGCGGTACAGCTCCGGATGCGGCTCTACCAGCGAGGCTGGTTTTCTGAAATCGTGTTCATTAAGTCTATAGATTTCGATAACTAATTGCTATAATTAATTCACTTATTCCACGTTTCTATAGATTTTGTTTATGAATTAGTAGTGGACAACAGCACTGACGGTAGATCTGTACAGGGGCTTGTCTTCACTGTCCGCTGCATGGTGACGCCCGTTTAGAAAGGTGGATGAAAGGCTTAGAGGGGTTGATGATTCAATTTAAGCATCGAGTAATGCGTTACAAAGAAAAAAATATAACTCACGACTCACTGCAGTGAGTGACAGAGAGCGCATTTTCTCGTCAACGAAAACGTGAAGTCACGGACAGACAGACGGACATAACGAGCACAATAGCGCCTTTTTCCATAAATGAGCAAATGCGTTAAAAAGTGCGACCGGCATTTAAAAAAATTACGGTAGCTACAACTCTACATATTACCTTTCCTGAATTAGTATGCTAACGAGCTGACGTAAAAGCAGCTCCTACAAATTAATGAGCATCAATAATTGAGGCAACAATTCAACCACATTCAATTTTAGGCAACAACTCAACCACAATAACANTTCCGAACTAACATTCTTCAAAAACTTTATTTCAAATATTTGGATTTTATTTTTCCTCGTCTGCTACAAATAACCTAATAGTTTGGAACTACCAACAGTTTTTACGCATCGTCGTTGTAATTGAAATGGCACAATCAACTCCCATTTCTTCTCCTTTCAGACTCGACACCTACAAAGCAAATATAAAATAAATTACTGAGAATTTAGTCTAATCTCCATTATTAGAGAAGAAAAAAATTGGTTGAATAGCAAACGGCTTGAAGCAAATGAAGTTGTGAAGTGGAAAATTGTATTGTTATTTTATTATTATTTCTTCTGCAAGTTTATTTATCATGCCGTTTTAATCATCTGTGTTTATTTATGATAATTTCAAGCAACTGTTCATCTATTTTCTCATTATCATCCGATGGGTCAATGCTAATGGATGAAGACATGTTGAGCTTAGTTTATTTATTTAAGTGCGAGAAGCACACGTGCAAGGATATCATTTAGATATTTAAATAATATGATTCATAATCATTCAGAAATTATTCAGAGTTTTCGTATGAAACGAAATCAGAATGTTTTTTATCAGTACGGGAGTGGTCTTCCATTGTTCAATAAATAATATGATTCATATTCATTCAGAAATTATTCAGAGTTTTCGTATGAAACGAAATAAGATATATTTTTTATCAGTACGGGAGGGGTCTTCCAATGTTCAATTTGCACCCTGCAGATACCCCCATCGTGCACCTGGGTCTCGGCAGTTCGTTGAGTCCTGACAGCATCAAGGAGAGCGAGGACGTCTACTTTGAGTGCAACGTTCAAGCGAGACCCAAGATCTACAAGGTGGTTTGGTACCACAACGTAAGTCGAACTCTTCAGTCCCTTTGATACACTTAGCTTTAGATTTACGTCCCCATTTCGTTAGTACTTGACTCCAGAAGTTTTCCACTAACATTCCTGTATTGATCGATTTATATTTTCTACTCACCGTTAACAGCATAATATATCCCTGCTTATATCATTCAAATTTTTTTATTTATTGACATATTATCTGCAATGCATGTCTGAAGTCGAAATTTACACTATAATATGTTGAGCTCAGCCTTGATGTTGAGCTCGGCGAGTGCACTACGTGCTTGAGAACGAGTGAATTATATATAATTTACTACGAAAAAATCACATTGTACAAAATTATTGAGATTAACTAAATTTTAAAAAGTATTGGAAATACTCATCCGAGATCTCGAAGTCCAGTGAGGATCGAGGATCCACACTCGATCAGGAAAACGAAATAAAATATAGGTATGGTATTTACATAGCAAATAAGAAGATAATGAGCTCTTGAGCACAAACAATCAAATTTAAAGCCAATGTAGCAATACACAAGAACTAACAATAAACGTTAAATACACACATAAAATTATTGACACAATTCTTTATCGTTTTGGGTCCTGTAACTAACATGACTTACAGTTAATTAGATGCTGGCGGGTCGCACCTCACTTCAATTGCTCGAATTAAATTTGAACTTAGCATCCCGAAGAAATTATAATCAATAAAAGGAGCATTTAATAT